AACAATATATAACATTAGTAAACAATTTATCCCAAAAAATAATGCTCATACACACCGGAAACTTGCAACATTTTTACAGAGCTCTATCAAAATCCCTGATATAGGAGAAATTGTATGACGCCTTCCCAGAAAATCCTGAGGAGTTTCTCTGTAGTCTTTCGTGTCTGGAGTTAAATCGAGTTGGAAAGGAAGCGCTTTCTATTGGATTTAACTTTCATATCCCGAATAACCGTGTCAAAAAACTGATGTCACAGTTCAATCTGAAAACTTATTCTATTGGCTGAATGGCCGCACTCCAGTTGATGATGACAAGAGTAGCTGGTTCAAATCTAATCTGATCGACGTTGCAAATCAATACTTCATTTCACAAAACGTCATGTTCTAAAATCCTCCCTGAAGAACATCAAAAGGCATTAAAAGCTCTGGAAAATAATGACAAAATCCTCATATTATGACCTGACAAAGGCTCAGGAGTGGCGCCGATGGACAGAGGTGACTACATCGCAAGTATACAACTGTGTTAAATGACTCTTTGAGGTTCAAAGTTGTCGATTCCCAGAAAGATAAGACGCATCACAAACGTACTGAGAGATCTTCTAAAGAAGAAATTGACTGATAACAGTATGTACAATGATCTGAAACGTCGAGGGTCTCGTTGGACACACATCTATGCCCTTCCAAAAACACACAAAATTAAGTCCCTCTGAGACCTATACCTTCGATGATTAACTCATCCCGACATAAGGTTGCTCGTTGGCTTGCGGAGAAGTTGAAGCCCATTCGTCAATCGCTAGCCGTGCACACCATGATAGCCTCATTTGACTTCGCCGAAAGTATGAACCACATGAACGTTTCAAATAAGTCCATGGTATCATTTGATGCAACCTCCTTGTTCACAATGATTCCAATCAATTAAACTATTGAGATCATTTTTCAGCAGTCTGATCTCCTCCCACTCCCAGAGTTGGAATTCAAAAGCTTACTGCTAATATGTACCACAAATGTGAAATTCCAATTCGACAACATTCTTTACCGACAAGCAGATGGTGTAGCTATTGGCAGTCCATTTAGCCCTGTTTTAACAGATATATTCATGTCCAACCTTGAAAGAACAAAGTTAAAGCATGCCATAGACGACCTTGACCTTGGCGGCCTGTTTGAACATTTTGGGCTACCATATTCCATGTACATTTTGCATCTATTTACTCATATTTTGTTGGTGTTTGCATTTAAAATTATGCATTCTAATCGTATCATTCACTCTCGGGATTATATAAAATGCTTAAAACCTAAAAACTTTCATATTTGCAATAAACTCAAGAAAAAGCACCATGGTGGTTGGCAACGTGCTTTAAAATCTACACCCATACATCAAACTACTGTTCCGGTTATCGTTAGTACCAACTGTCGGTCACTGCCTAACAAAATTCTGGATTTTCAGTCCCTGTTGTTGTCCGAAACTTATCATAATACTGGTATTGTAACTCTACAAGAAACCTGGCTTCATGACTCATATGATGACAATATAGTATCTTTAAATGATTTTAATGTATTCCGACAAGACCGTGTTTGTTCCAAGAAAAAATGCGGCGGTGGAGTAGCTACATTTATTCACTCAAAATGGTCTATTTCTAACAATGTTTGTTTCAAATTCTCGAATGACTACATTGATTGCATCACTGTCAGATGTCGCCCGAGACACTTGTCAAAATACAAATTCATTTATATTTCTAATGTTTATGTCTCTCCTGGCTGTACCATATCGGATTTATCTATGTTCGCAGATGAATTCACCGCTTTTGCTGCAGCTTGTTTCGAGAACTCTTTATCAATAGTGACTGGCGATTTTAACTCTTGTGATCACTCCTTCCTTATATCACTTGGCCATGACAATATTGTTAACTTTGCTACCCGTCTCGAAAAAACACTAGATCTAGTATTCATCAATGATGTTGGTATATATGAAGCTCGCAAACGTGCTCCTGTATTGAACTCTGACCACTGCATCATACGTGTACTGCCTAAAATATATTCCAAATCACACAAACGTGTCTTCTCTCACCTCTACAGTAAATTTCAACGGAGATGCTACTCACAAGATAATCTAAGCAAACTCAGATGCATGTTGATAGATACTAACTGGGACCTATTTACAGAACAAACATTAAATGACACAATCACAAACACCACAGATTATCTTAAATTCTGTTTGGAAATATGTTGTCCTAAAGAAACATTATTCACTCGTTTTGACCGTTTCTCTTCTCCATATCTCAAAAAGCTCCGTAGAGATAAAGAACTGTTGTTCAAAACAAATGATAAGTCAGGTGTAAAAAAGCTAAATCCTCTGATAAAACTCGAAATACATAGACTAAATGTTTTATACAACCAAAGATTTTTGTCATGTAAAACCCCTTCTAGTTTATGGAAACTTTTTAAAGAAATTACTAGCGGTAAGCGGTGTAATTCTGTACCATCTCTTAATGTTAATAATCTTAATAAGTCTTTCATACGCTCTTCTGACGATATCCTTCCTAATGATACAAACCACATAGACAATAATTTTAATGGTTTTAATACCCTTGATGTGCTTAAATGTCTCCGTTCTCTTAAGCCTTCCCAAAGCCTTGGTCCTGATGGCGTACCTGCCATTGTCCTCAGGAACTGTGCTGATATTTTGTGTTACCCTCTTACTAATATTTTTAATGCTTCCTTTTCCAGTAATGTTCTACCTTCTGCATGGAAAAACATTAAAATTGTCCCTATACCAAAACAATCTTCTGGTACCGATAGTAAATTTAGGCCTATTGCAATTACTTCTCCTTTTTTAAAATTGATGGAAAAACTACTTTTACTTCGTCTTGAACCTTCATTGAAAGCTTTTAATGACCCTAAGCAATTTGCATATAAACATGGTAGAAGTACCTTGGATGCTGCGGTTGTCTTATATCATAATGTTGTTTCTTGTTTAGACAAAGGTGCCAAATATGTCCGTGGTGCTTTCCTAGACTACACATCTGCGTTTGACTCTGTACCTAGGGGCCTTTTATTAAATAAGCTCTCCTTGACGCACACAGCATCCTGGGCTAAGAGTTGGTTGCATTCTTATTTTTCTGATAGAATGCAGTATACTGCATATAATGGCAAATCTTCTTCTGCTTTGCTTACAAAAGCCGGTGTTCCTCAAGGTGCCGTCCTCTCTCCCTTTCTTTTTTCTTTCTTCTTACATGACCTGCCACATTTAAACGAAACCAATTTTGTCAAATATGCTGATGATCTGACTGTATCACTGCCTATCACTTCTGAGTCTGACTGCTCCAAACTTAATAGCTTTTTGTTGGACATCAGCATGTGGTCTAAGTCAAATGGTCTTATGTTAAATCCTTCCAAATGTCAGGCAGTTAACTTTACCTTCAACCATCGACGTGACATACATGAACTAGTTAGTTCCCATGATGCCTGTAGCATAGATGGTACAGAAATTGAAACCAAATCAAGCATTAAATACCTTGGATTAGTTCTTTCCTCGGACCTTTCATGGTCATCTCACATTTTATTGGTCTCTAAGAAAATGTTTCGTCTTACCTTCTACATTAAAAAGTTAAGACAACAAGGTATCAGCCAACCTTTAGTTCTGCGATTTTTAAACTCCTGTATTTTACCCATTTTACTTTATTGTTCTCCATTAATCTTTCCTGGGCTTCTTAAAAAAGACTATGCCGTATTACGAAGGGTATTAAATGCTGTGAGTAGGGCTTGTGGTTTGCCACTGCGTGATCTCGCCAATACCATAGTCGAGAGACACGTAAATTCCTGTAAAAATTGGGCTAAGGCCGTACTGTCAGACCCTCTGCACCCTCTTTATTCACAATTATCCCCTTGTATCTCATCAGGTAGAACGAGAAGTCAATATAAGAAATTATATGCTCGTACCACTAAGTACAAAAATTCTACAATACCGTACTTAGCCCGTATTTTATGTGATGAAGACACTGTTAGACGTGAAACATATAAGTTACTATGTAATTAGCATAGTGAATCGACCCTTTCATTGTTCATCTTTCTGTAATTCTATGGTGTCACCCTTTCTATCGTTTAATTATAACTTTGCTACTTGTATTTTAGTTGTTATTACTATTATTACTATAATTTTATATTTTTCTCCTTATCCTCTACTGTAATTGCTACATAGCTCCTATAAAAACGTTTTGTTATCATTATTATGTATTAATTATTCCGTTTATCTACTTTTTTTGTTTGTTGTTGTCGTTTTTGAGTAAATTAGATGCAATACTGTACTGAATGCTGAAAATTCCTTGCTGTATCATTAATACTGTTTTTGGAATAAAGCAAAAATTATTATTATTATTAAAACAACTTCTTACTGTTAATATGTCAATGACACATTTGTAGTGTGCAACAATGAAAGTCATGCTTCCCACCTACTCAGATTATTCAACGACGCACATACCAACATTGAATTTACTATCGAACATCAAAATGATGGAAAGTTCCATTTCCTAGACATTGCCATACAACGCCTAGAAGATGGTAGGCTCCAGAAGTCAATCTACCGAAAGCATACATGGTAAGGACAATACCTACATTTTAATAGTTTTTTGTCCAAATAGCTCTAACTTTATCCCTCCTTCAAAACTTAGATATCTTGTTACTAACATGCATTAGTCAATAGTCTTCATGACTTCTAACCTCTTAATTCCCCCATCCGTATACCTAAAACTGATTAACTAAAATAACCACTTGATCAGTAAACAATGTTGATGTAAAAAAAACTATATATTAGTGGAGTGCCAGCCAGCCGATGATGAGGAACTTCCAATTGAAAAGGAATGCATATTTCTTCGTTCCATCTGTTGTTTTTTTCTAAATGCGTAAATGGGAATTTGGAAATTCAAACTCTTGTCTGTTGAATGTAAGCATTTAATGTAACAAAAAAGGGAGCAATTCAACTGATCATTTGAATAATTCATACTGCTTACTTCAAAGTAGTGCGGAACAGCTTAGTCTCAATTTTATCTTCATCCCACTTCGTTCCTGTAATGAAGGGGACAAAATAACAATATATTACCGCTAATTTCAAATAATAAAAATATCGTTGAAAGATTATTTAAACAATTAGACAGTGGATCTTTTTATGCATCTGATTACTTTTAAGTTATGCTCAACCGTAAAGCCGCATTAGTTACAAAAGTAGCGAAAATGTCATTCCGTTTCAGATGGGAACTCTTCCAACGAACCCACTGACAATATAGTTGAAAATCAGACTCAGAATCGATGTAGGAGGACACCGTGGCATTTAAACAGTAGGAGGGAATTTAGTAGCCTGAAATTCTAAACTTCTGTTTATTGAAAATACAGTGCTACTTTCATCTTCAAAACCATCTTTGCAGGTTCTCACAGTCAAGAATTTTCATTGGAATTTCACAGAATTCACCTGAAGAAAATGATTTTATTCTCACAGAAGTGATATTGATACTGAACTTTCTAGATTCAAGTATCTCATTGATTTTAAAATTCAGCCAACCATTGAACATCAGTGAATAGTGGACGGCTGATTCGTCTTTGTTCGCTACTGTTCACCAGTAGGCCCACATGATCACAAATCCTTGGGACCGAACTCCGGACCTTTGAGCTATCAGGTGAGCTCGTAGACCATTCAACTAACACTTGAAAATTAATCTAGCTCCGACTTATGACTATCTGCAGGATGAAGTTACCTGAATATCTAGTGGGCGGTCGTTTCCAGCAACGCTCACTAAGTTAGGTGTGAAGACAAACACTTGCCGATGATATTAGCTGGCTGACTGGTAATATATTGAGAACTGGAAGAAGTTGCAATTCATACGTCGGTCAGTGGATTTCATCCCAGTGTCTGAGTTCCATCCCCAATGGAGTCATAGGTGCGCGCTGATGAAGAGTGTCAAACATGAACGAATCAGCAGTTTGAAACTGAAGGTTTCCAATAATTACCTACCTGAAGTCAATTTTTGATCCATATTGCAGAAATTCAAGTGGTGGACTCGATCCCTCACTAACTGGTTGGGAATCACTGCCGACGGGACACCAAATGGAAGTAAGCAGATTTTTTATTCCTAATTTATTGGAAAACATTACGTCCCCTAAATGTCCTTTCTAGTTATTCTGCACATCATCTATCACATATCAAATCTTACTCCCTTTTAATTCATGTAAACATTTCTTCAGAAGTCCTTCAAGTACTTCTTGACATTATTGCATATGACACCTTGATAGTACTCTGTACAACTCTAAGAAGTTAATTAATTTCAATGATTGAATATTTATTTAAAGCCTTCAAGTTGAACAGGTTGACACACACGCACACAAGAAGCGTGATGAAGCGAATACAGCTCATATAGTATTCTTCTACAAAATGTTTTTTCAAATGAGAATTTAACACAAGTATCCAAAATAAACAAGCTGGCACCTTCCTATACACCTCAATCACCAAAGTGAGAGGGCGAAAGCGGATGCCCGGCGCTCTTCACCGGGTTGACTGTCCATTGGATGACAGTCTAGGGGAGATGGCTAAACCCTGATTCCAAACCTCCAACGACTGGCGTATGAAGCTCACTGGAGCTCACCGGCAGACATATGGACAAAGGGCTTGTTGGATGTCCTGGATGTCTGGCCCCATTCAAAAAGGCGTATGAACCGAACTCCGGTCACCGGCTGCCAATGGGTAGTGGACTCCCTACTCCACTCCTACTGCCTTGTAGGTCACACTTGGTTGTGTAAAGGCTAGAGCTGCACTCTCAAACAAAAGGCCGAGTGGTTCTGGGGACATCACTCGTACCAAATTCCCATGAAACTTCGTAAACTCTCTTCATCAGATCGCTGCGCCTGGCTAGCGATGATTTGAGAAGTTCATGAAGCCGGCTCATCCTTCCGTAGGGGATAGCCGAAGCAAAGTAAAGTAAGTACCTCAATCTGGCAGTCAGAACACCTCTAGGCAGACAACATACTTCATTCTCTTTATCCCTAATCTGCATCATAGCTACATATTACTTCAACTAACAATGTTAACTCATAAATAGCAATGAAGTCGTACTCGCAGCATACATTTCAGCCATCTAATCAATCAATTTCTCTCCTTGAGTTTTCATTTTACACCTACACTTAACATTACGCAATTCATCGTTTCATCAGAATTGGACAGTGAAACATTGACGTCTATGAATGACAAACGTGAAAACTTTTTTTTCTAAAATTCAAAATACCTGTTCAAAGTCGACTTATGAAATTTGATGAACAATTGACACAGTTAACTCGCAACAGAAATCATGAATAATAAGTCAAGTCGCTGAAAATATCTCAGCATCTGCACAGCCATTCGCTCTGACCTCCTTTGTGTCTGTGAGACATGACTGTTTCTAGTGGAAGGCATAAAAAGACTAAGTGTCTTTAACCACAAATATTTGCTTTCTATTTCCCACGTTAAGTGGTGTAATATGGTTATTAATACTGATTTTTAAAGATAAGATTTGTTTTTACGACTTGATCGCGGATTAATATCACTTGGAGAACCATTGAAAACCAGCAACGGAATACTGGACAGCCAGCTATTCCATCCTAGTTTGGGAATCATCGGCAGTATGCACCCACCACAAGGGTTCGCACCCAGGACCTTCCGGTAACAAGCCAAGCTCGTATATCATTCAGCCACTGGGACCCAATTCGATGGCTCATGGATTCCAACTTCTACCAATTTGTGATTTAGCGCTACTGGCATCAACCAACGTCATTGGTGGGATTTCAATCCTCATACTTGACTGGGTGGGTGAGTGCTGCCGATGATTCCCAAACTGAGATGAAACAGCTGTTCACTACTCCCTGGTTTTCAATGGTTCTGTGATATCAATCCGTGATCAACTCGTAGAAACATATTAATCCTGAGACAAAGCGTCAAGTGTGAGGTAATGAAGGTAGGTCATAGATGACGCTGTGAAGCTGGATTGACTGAGATGATTAGGGCAGGTGTTACAGTTGCCGAGTTATCGCCTTCCTCGATAAGCACTATTGGCCAACATAGCGGTGGATGGGAGCAATGTTAGAAGGGTCAAGTGAAAATCTAGAATCAGCCCACAAAATCTTTGGTAGTCAGTTTTAGCCACGTAGGGAGTGGTAGGCTGCCTGATTAGGTAGGGTACTCAAGATGCTAAGAACTAATGGTTGGAGACTATAGATATAATAGAGAAGATTTGTAGCTCAGGTGGATGATTTTGGTGTGGTTGTGTTCTCTGAGCTGGATGGTTTGGTTGCGAAGCTTTCATTGCTCTACTGAGCAACATCTTCAGCGCATACTTCGATGTGAATTGAGCTTTAAGAATTCTCTATGAGTTTATTAGTCATCTCTTCTAGTAACCTTGAACGTGATTGGCTGTTTTCGTGTGACATTTCATCCCCTAGTTTGCTTGTCTCGGTGCTGGTTGCTTCTTTGGTCTGAGTGTCGTTAGTCATTCCTTCTGCTAATGACTAACGACATTCAGACCAAAGAAGCAGCCAGCACCGAGACAAGCAAACTAGGGGATGAAATGTCACACGAAAACAGCCAATCACGTTCAAGGTTACTAGAAGAGATGACTAATAAACTCATAGAGAATTCTTAAAGCTCAATTCACATCGAAGTATGCGCTGAAGATGTTGCTCAGTAGAGCAATGAAAGCTTCGCAACCAAACCATCCAGGTTGGAGACTATTGCTGATATGTCTCAAATCCATATTCATTGGAGCAGATACATTTATTCTTCGTAACTACGTAAATCGACTAAACTATCACTGGTTTTCCATGTCACTATTCTTCCGGCTTCAGGTTTCTGATTACTATAGTTCCTCTGAATATCTTTTTTTGTGTTTCGTCTATCTTTGTATGCTACATAAAGTGTAACAACTTGAGATGCCACTGTTCAACACAAAGCTCTATGTTGAAGTTCACTCAATCATTCCTAACATTTAAAAAAGTTGCTACATTGAAGAGCAATCGAATCACTGTAAACGGATAGCGAGAAGCTACGCTGAACACTACCAGCTGAATACCATCCGAATACCTTTACCCACGCCTGAACAGTGATCCTTTTTTACACTCTTTAATGAATCAATTAAACTAACAAGATGCAGACTAACAAATGCGAACACAACCGCTAAATACCAGCATTGTAGTCATAACAAATTAACGACGTTTCACTTCTAATGAAACCCAAAAGTGAACAAACCAACAGTTTTGTGCTTATTACATCTAAGGTGTTATTAAGCTGACAAAAAATTCTAGAAATTCTAAGCATTAACAGATTTCATCAATGTTATTTTACCTACCTCTAATCCATAAGTGATAGGCATTCAGTGTGTCCTTCTCTCCTTCATCATTCATCACTCGAGCAGTGGTACCATCGTCATAAATGTCCGTAAGCGATATTCGTCGTACCGAAGTTAAACATAACTGATTAAATAATTCCATATTATCAATCCATTTTTCATTCATCTCTGGAAATAAACTAACAGTTCCTGTATTCAAGTTAATTTCATATGGATTAGGCAGGCTAATATGAATAGTATTCTGTAAAAGTCTCCTGTTTGAATTCGTATCTGCCTGTTGAACTGGTTGACTTTCATTGATACATTCATTTAAGGACTGATTCACTTTATCCTCTTGATTATCATGGAGAGTAGAGTTCACTGGGAAGATCAACAAATCTTTTGTTGACATTAGACAAACAATAATCTGGTTGCAATAATAAGACGGATAAAGATATTGATGATGAAAATAAGATAAGGTTGATGAAGATTGAAAGATGATTTAATGAGAGTTGCTCCCATAAATAAAAAATATTTTTGTTTTGACTACTGAGAGAGAAAAATAGTACAGCGAGGGGATATTTGTCAACAAGAATACTTCTTTTTCGTTATGCTTGTGTTTTTCAGCACGTTTATCAATGGATATCTAAATAAAGAGATGAATTTCCAAGTGTTTATTTTGTAGGAACTTTGTTTGATTAATTGGAAGATTTCATAGGCCATTGGATCAGATCCCAGGGGTTGCTGAATGGTCTACGATCTCTCTAGTCTTGTAACCAGAAGGTCCTGGTTTCGAACCCCGGTGGGTGTGCACTGTTGAAGAATCCCAAACTACGACAAAACAGCTGACTGTCCAGTACTCCCAGGTTTTCCAATAGTTCCCTGACTGCTGTCAGCTATTGATGAAATTCTCCAACCAAAGAAACGGATAACTGAAGGATGATTTCAAGTCCACTGATAAGGCCTGTTTACTTCAGGACCGAAGTAGTTAACTAGCAAAGATTTAGCTGTATATAATAGTAATGGCTTTTATTTAGTGGAAAGTGCCAAGCAGTGGATCACATTTTGTCCCCTCACTGGGACTCCTTATTCTGGTGTACCAAAAAAATTCTAAGATAGGAAAAGAGGCATATAAGAGAAGCTTCGAAACTTAAAAACTACCTCGATAAATTCGCCAGAAAGTATGTAGGGAAATGTGAAAATAAAATCAATAATAATAGTAGTGATAGTAATAATAATAATATTAATGACAACACGCATATCGAACATGCTCAGGATAATGACAACACCAGCAATAGGGAACTTGAATCATCAGTATTATTTACATACACTGTATGTCAGGGAAAGTCGTCCACTTTGTCGCTTACTGAGGCTGGTGTCCCTCAAGGCGCTGTCCTTTCTCCTTTTCTGTTTTCTTTCTTCTTGCATGACTTGCCTCACTCCGATGAAATGAACTTTGTTAAGTATGCCGATGATCTAACTATTTCAATGTCTGTTAACTCTCAGCTTGACTGTATTAAGATTAACAACTTTCTATCAGAAATTAGCAAATCGTCTTCGTCTAATGGCCTTAAACTTAATCCTTCCAAATTTCAGACTGTTAATTTGAGTTTCCGATGTAAGCGAAAGTTAAATGAAGCCGTTGGTTCCTATGACCCTTGCAAAATCGATGATACTGACATAGAAACCCAGTCTGAAGTTAAGTACCTTGGATTAGTTCTCTCTTCTGACCTATCTTGGTCTTCTCATGTCTTAGCGATTTCTACATTTTACATTAAGAAGTTGAGGCACTCAGGCATAACCCAACCACTCCTCTTACAGTTTATCAACTCGTGTATTTTACCTATTCTTCTTTACTGTTCACCATTATTCTTTCCTGGATTGCTAAAAGAGGACTATGTCATACTTCGTAGAACTCTGAAGACTGTCAGTAGGACGAGTGGTATCTCATTGGGCCATATCGTTGGCATTGTCACCGATAGGCATTTGATGTCATGCAACAGATTCGCTAGAGGAATTTTGTCTGACTCTGAGCACCCACTCTACCAGCAGCTCCAACCTTGTGTCTCCTCAGATAAAACAAGAAGTCTTTTCAGAAGACTTTATGCACGTACGTCTAAGTATAAAAATTCCACTATACCATATTTAGCACGTACATTATGTGATGAAAATAGCGTCAGAAATGAACTAACTAACCTTCTTAGCACCACTAAATAAACCATTTCCTTCACTTTTAAAGCATCATATTTTATTGTTATTGTATTTCTTATATTATAATCCTCTCAATTTTTTCGTTTTGTTTATTTTATTTTTAATAACTGTGGTCATAATTTTAAGCTGTATTATGACTGTTAACTTTGTATTTCCCCTCACTATACTATATCAATAAAACATAAGACCCAATAGTCTATGACTAAAGTTTCCAAACTGAATGGACAATACCGTTTGAAGCAAACTCACTGTTATTATTTATTATATCTAATAATTATGTCGTAAATGTGGACAAATTCCTCCGATTAATTTTGTTTCAATTTTTAATTTTACATATATTTTGAGTAAATCAGATGCAATATTGAGACAAATACTGAGAATTCCATTCTGTATTATGAGTGTTGTTTTTGGAATAAAGTAGATTATTATTATTATCTCAGTACGGATACAGAGGGCTAGTCTCGCATATGCCAGCTTACACCATGTCTGGCGTAGACGTGATATACAACTATCGACCAAAGGATGTGCGCAGTGCTCAGCAGTCCGCTCCGTCCTCCTTTATGGCTGTGAGACCTGGCCATTGAGAGTGGAAGACATGAAAAGACTAGCTGTCTTTGGTCATAGGTGTCTACGTTCTATCTGCGGCGTGAAGTGGTATAATAAGGTGAGCAATATTGAGGTTAGGCGTCGAGTGCTAGGTAAGAAGGGGAAATCAGTCAACGAGACTGTGAAATTACATCGACTGAGATGGTTAGGACATGTGTTACGTATGCCTAGACATCACCTTCCTCGACGGGCAATATTAGCTAATATGGGGTCAGGCTGGAAAAGAGCTAGCGGCAGTCAAACCAAAATATGGCTTCACCAGTCAATGAAATCTACAACAGTTAGTTTAAGCCAGCCACGTAGGAAGGTGTAGACTTCCAGACTGGTTGGGATCCTCGGGAAAGTAAAACCAATGTCTGGAAACACTTGGTGATAGGGCTCAGAATAATTCTTAATGGTTGGTGCAGATGCATCTACTCCCTGTGACTTATGATTTCCAATGAAACTATATTGTTCTTCGATATTACCATTCTTTTTGCCCCGTATCTGTGTTTACTGTCTCTATTCAGCATTTCTTTTTATCTTTTTTTCTGGCTCTGTGTGCTGAGTGAAGTGTGGCGACTGAAACTGCTGCACATCGATGCATATGATTATGAGCAGTAATAAATTGTGCTCGAAACATGGTCATCAGTAAATATTACTGTACAACACTGTGTAATTTTATCCAAATAAAATTTTATTCATAATGGAGTTATACTCTACCACAGTGCCCAAGTGTTATCCTCATTTCTATTTTAAGCCCTCTAATTCTCCCGAGGAAGCTTTGGTGAACGTCAAAGATGTGGTTCCCAAAATATCACAAAGTAATTATGTCTATAGGATAAAGTGTTCAGAATGTGAAGTGTGCTATATAGGGGGGAGAGTAGTAGAAAGGTGAAGGTCAGAGTGAATGAACATAGACTATGCAAGAAACGTCCACCGAGAAATGAAGTACAAATTAAAAAGTCTAGAGGAAAGATCATCTATTGCAATGCACACTGCTATAGACAGAAAACATTCTTGGGAAAGGACTTCATTCACCACATAAAGACAGGCTGACCTCTGAAACCTTGCATATTTTAACCACATCGAATTTGGTGAATAAGAGAAAAGGGATAGACTTATCACTTGTATGGCAGATTCTAATGAAGCAAAACAGATGTGACGTATTTCCCGCACAACAAACAACATGCACACACATTCACACAGACAAATACGAAAATAAGATAATTGGTAGAAGGTACAATTCATGAGCCATTGGATTGGGTCTCAGTGGTTGAATGGTCTACGAGCTCGCCTTGTAACCATAAAGTTCTGGATTCGAACCTCGGTGGGTGCGTACTGCTGAAGAGTCCCAAATCAGTAAGTAGGAAACAGCTGTCCAGTACTCCCAGGTGGTTTTCCAGTGGTTCTCTAACTGATGTCAGCTCATGATGAAAGCCTCCATCCAATTTTACATTAGTCATTACCAAAAATGTGATGACTGTTTACAATTTTCTATTAGCATAAATGTCTACCGACAATTAACCGTCAAAATGAACTGACTTCATCATAAATTTTAGAAATACACCAACGTATATGCTGTCAAGATTTCTCTCAACAATACTAAGACCAACAAGAGACAACTCAAAAGCTAGAATAGTAGGTTCATTGGAATTAGTGAGACGACTAAAAAACAACAAAATAGACGAAGAGGAAATACCAGTCAGCTTTGATGTAAACAGTCTCTATACTAAAATACAAATTCACCAAATAAGCATGAATGCACTGAAAACGAGACTAATAGAAGATGGCGGCCTAAAAGACAGGACACAATTATCCGTAGAAAAGATAATACGAGGGGTTGAATTCTGTCTAAGAAGAACAACAACATATTTTACATTTGAAGGGAAAATATACCAACAAAACGAAGGAGGAGTAGCCATGGGATCATTCATCTCACCAATAATAGCTGACATATTCATGGATTTTGGGGGAGAGAATGCTTTCAAACCATTTAGGTGATCAATAAAATGTTGGTGAAGATATACAGACGACATGTTAGTAATAATGAAAAAGAATGATAGTGAGAACCTCTTCTCACACATAAACAGCCATGTCGACTCAATAAAATTCACTATGGAAGTAGAGAATGAAATTGGGGAACTGCCTATGTTAGATTGCAAAATACAAAGAATAACAGATGGCAGCATTAAAACGACGCTATATATAGAAAAACCACACACTCTGGAAGATTCCTCGATTATCACTCAGCTCATCCACTCACGTAAAAAACGAGGATTAATACAATGTCTTGCAGATAGAATACGTAGACTTGCAACAACACGATATGACCAGAGAAAAGAAATAAACGTCCTATTCAAAATGTTACTCGACAACAACTTTCCAAAAGAATTTATCAGAAATAATATAAAAAGAGGAAAGAGAAGGAGGAGGGCAAGAAAACAATCACAATACTACACAAAAATGGTACATCAGAAAGAACTGGAAGAAACCTCAAAAATGCTGGGATTCACACGACGTTCAAACCGACGAATCTAATTAAGAATAAAATAAATCAACTGAAAGATCCAATAATAATAATAGATAAAAGTAGTAATGTAATTTACAAACAGATATCTTGCGCCGAGTGTCCGACTGAATATATGGGTCAAACGTCCAGATCACTCAAAATAAGAGTGAATGAATATAAACGCCTAACTAAAGGTCATCCCACGAGAACACAAGCTTACAAGAATCTTGAAAAAAATTCATCTATAGATGTACATGCATGGGACAAAAACCGCAATATCGATTGGAACAATGCTTGTATTCTGAAAACTAATATGAACAAATGGAAACAGAGACTTAAAACAGAATCTATATTCATTAAAGTCACACCGGATACATGTAACAAGGGTGACTCAGTAGCAAAACTATTAACAACCTGGAATATTATGACTCGTGGGTAATGAGGAAACATGCATTAAATGGACTCACACAAAAAACTTGGAGGATCTGGACTTCGCCGATGATATATGTCTGATTTCCCACAAACTGGAAGATATGCAAGTGAAGAGCAACAAGTTGGCAGAAGAAGCATCAAAGATAGGACTTCAGGTGAACATAGAGAAAACAGAGGTGATGAAGATTCCTGGGCAACACCATCAACAGCAACAATAACAGACAACAATATTTTCTTGTTCTTTTTTATTACAACTTGATACCACACCGTATCTTCAGTAGAAGTATGGAATTTTCAGCTTGAATATCGGTAGCCCTAATTATGCAGGCCGACCATAGATATCGGGTGTGCGTCGGCAAGGGATCGAACCCTAGACCATGTGCATGGTCGGCGAGAGTCACAACCAATGTGCTACCGACGCAGCATAAATGCAAGGAACCTGAAAGAAACAGCCTCTTTTACCTACCTGAGAAGCATCGTTTCAACTACAGGCCAGCGGAATTGACGAGGATATCAAAGTAAGAATCGGAAAAGCAAGACAAGCTCTCACTACTTTCAAGTCTGTGTGGAGGTCAACAGCATTCAGCATCAAAAATAAGATCCGGATTTTCAAATCCAATGTGAAGTCAGTGCTACTATACGGATCAGAGACTTGGTGCGTCATAAAGAGCACCTCAAACAAACTACAGACCTTCATTAACAGTTGTCTTCGCTCAGTACTACTACTCAAGATCAGATGGCCGGCCAGAAAAGATCAGCAATAGAGATCTCTGGAAGCGAACCAACCAGGAACCAATTGTGAAACAAATAAGTAGGAAGAAATGGAGATGGATTGGTCATACTCTGAGGAAACCATCAAGTGACATCACTAGACAAGCCATTGCTCGAGTGGAACCCGAAAGGGAAGCGGCGAGTTGGTCGTCAGTGCGATGGTGGGTGACTTGCAGGAGGTCATGTGAAGAGGAGATGAAAACGTGTGGGCACACTTGGAGCCAGGTGAAGACTCTAGCAGAGAACCGAACGCAATGGAAACGCACGGCTGAAGCCCTATATTCCTCTAGGAATTAAAGGAAACATTAATAATAATATTATAACTCTGGATACGAAAAAATGAATGAACAAAAGGAAATCAACTATATATTTGAGTACAAATCATAAATGTGTGAATCCAAAACAAAACAATTCCAACACTTGGTTTGATAACACGCAGTACTTTTGCTTGAAATATTACCAAAAAACAAAAAACTTATCACTGTGCGTAAACCACTGAAATATAATTATACTAGTTACCATCCACCAATTAACTTTTAATTACATGCTCAGACATCGTCTAAGCATCTGCACAAGAAGCCGACATGTCAACCTGAGACCGAGCACTTCAGTCCGTTTAATAGACGGGAACATCTAAAATTGAATTATATAATTAATATAACTCGTTGTAGAACAGGTAGCTCTCGCGGCCCAAGTGGTCTGGTGGATAACGCTTTGGCGTCTCGGGGGGAACACCATCGCTCACTCACTATGGAATGCAGGTTCACCCATTGGCTGATGAGTCCCAAATAAGACGAAATGCGCATCTTGGAAGATTCCACTGCTAGTCACCATCCACCAATTAACTTATAATTATACTTTATTTGAACTGACTTCAATTTATGCAATTTTCGACTACATATTTTCATGTTGGTTAATAAAATGTGAGTAATTCTGCTGAAGAAGCTCTGGCTTACAACTCAGCAAAACGTTCAGAGATATCTTGCTTTGATTTTTTCCTAAATATGCTGGAATTATTATTTTCAATAATTTATAATGAACATTCGTTGTCATCAGTATGAAAATGTGAATACTTACCGTGAAGCTGTCATCCGTGTTCAGTGCAGTGATTGCTCGACAACGAAAATTATTCTGTCTCCTAGTTTAGTTGAATAAAGAGGGGTTAAAAGAAGACATGAATTATAATAATATTAATTATAAAGAACAAGACTGATGAAACTAAATAGAATGTTCATTTGGACAAATTATAAAAACAAGTTAATGATATCATCAACTTCGAATTCGTCTAACTATTTCCAAATAATGTCACCTCTTTTGTACTAGAGGCATTTGGTTATTTGATGCCTGTTGTTTATATGGTTCTCTTTATCATTCTGTTCGTCTTTCTTGTGTTTATTCTATAGTTGAAGATATAATACACGATATATATTCAGTGAGGAATTAGGATGGGTTAACAAACATAAGCCACCATATGATTATTATTATTCCCTTGGGTTCCGAGTGCAATATAGGGCTTTAACAACACACTCCCACTTTGTTCTATTCTCTGCCGTCCTCTTCAGCTGGCTGGCTCCACGATTTCCCATATTCTGTCATCTCCTCCTCCAACACACACGATCTCCTCCATGTCACCCTAGCACCGACGACCAACTCGTCGCTTCCTACTTGGATTCTACTCAAGCAGTGGTCTGCATTGCGTGAGTTCTCATTCGACGGTCTCCTCAGTCTATGCCCAATCGATCTCTGTTTTCTCCTACAGGTTTGTTGAGCAATCAGCTCTTGGTTCATCGCCACAGTTTCTTGTTACCGACTCTTTCTAGCCAGCTGGCAAAGTTGATAGATGTTGATAAATGCCTTTATCTTGTTGGAAATAATTTTTGTGACACAGGCTATGTTTCTATGCTGTATAGAAGAGGTGACTGACTGACTTCACATTCGTGTTGAACACAATCCGAATCTTGTGGTTTATGATGAGTTAGTGAGTGACAGCGAAAGATTTCCAAACTGGTTTCAGGTTGATGAAGGCGTATCTTGCCTTTCCGAATCTGTCTGGCTGGTTTTGACAAATTCGTTGGCTCCACGAGCTGTGTTTGAAACCGTGATTCCTAGATGAGTGGGAAAAGTTACCTCTGTCCAATCTCTGCTGTTGATGGTGACTGGTGTTGGTTGTTGTTACTGTTGCTAGGTTAGTCAGTCATCTTCCTCACCTTCGTCTTCACCATGTTCACCTGGAGTCCTGTCTTCAGTGCCTATCCAGCCTCATTGTCAGTTTGTTGGTTTTCGCCTGCAATTCTTCGAGTTTGTTTGACATCAAACATAAATTGTCTGCGAAATCCGGATCTCCTAGAGTCTCCTTATCGGTGGTCAAGCGTATTCCTGACTCCTCGTTCCAAAGCACAGTCTGACGCATAATCCAGTCCACCACAACTAAGAATATCATCGGTGATAATAGCAGACAGACAGCCTTGTCTTACTCCTGTACACACTTCGAACACCTCACTGATTTTCCCGTTGTGGATGACCTGACACATGGCATTTTCATATGGCCTGCTGTTGAATGAGGTTGATAAAAACTTGAGGAATTACAATGCTTAGTGTTGAAGTAGTTTCCAAATTACTTATCGGTCAACACTGTCGAAGGCCCTTTTTAAGTCGATGAAGTTGAGGTGGAGTGAGGTTTGACTGCCATTCTTTGCTTTGTTCTGTGATGACGATTAGTGGAGTTGCAATTTGATCAGCACATGATTTGCCTTTCCTGAATCCACTTTGCTGCAGTGAGAAGCGGAGTTCTGCGTCCAATGCATCTTTTATTCTCCCCAAAATGATGCGACTTAGTATTTTACTTAGTGTGGACGGGAGCATTATTTCACACCAGCCCTTGCAGATGCGTTAGTCACCCTTCCATAGTAGCTTGACAAGTAAATCAGCCTTTCTTCCAACCAGTAGGCATTATTCATTCTCCCCTAACGTTTCGCAATAATGGCGTGAGCACACCTGCCTCAGTCTCTGGGTCCATTTTCAGCGCTATAGGGGAAATTCCGTCTAGCACTTATGCCTTCCTGGCAGGTTGTCAGTAGCTTGACTTCATGCAAGACTTCTGCTTTTGTTGGAGGATTACTGTCCACTGGCAGGCAGTTCTGTGCGTGCTAGCGAGCTAGTAAACTAGGCGAGGTTACCAGTCACCATAAATGAAAGAAATCCAAAGAAAGTTTTCTCTTCAACTACCTGAACAGCACTATTCTGATTATAGGCTAAACTAATGAAGACGTCAAAGATTGTCAGGATGAGGAAAAAGAATGAAATGGGTTCATTGCTGTGAAATAAGTTTAGAGATCCATGGCACTCAGTACAGGAAACAACATTAATGTCACGTAAGTGATTCTATAGGGTTTCAGATACCTGAAGCGTGTATCATCAAACGAATTTCGAACAAGCCACTGCAAACTTTTAACAACAGCTGTCCAAACTCGACCTCAGAAGATCAGATGGACGACCAGAAAGAATAAGCAATAAGCAAAATGTGACTTCCAGTAAACCAGCTGACAAACTACTGCTCAGAAATATGTAGAAGGAAGTTTTTTATTTATTTTATTCCTTTGCGTTCCCAGCTGAATATGGGGCTTCAATACAGAGCTTTGAAGTTTCGGTATCAGTGGTCTCATTTTAACAGGGTGGTATTGCTAGTCTCAGGCGTAACCTCCCCTCTTTGCCTGCCTTATTACCAGCAAAGGGAGCTTTGGGAGTGTGTTGGCATGGAATCGAATCCCGGACCTCCTGAGTACCTGCAGAGCGCCACCGACGCACGTAGAAGGAAACAGAGGTGCGAAAAAAGTATAAACTAAGGAGACAGTTGAATGATACGCTTTATCAGGCCATCATGTGAGACTCCAATGAGAAACAACGGGTCGAGTGGGGGCCCAAACGTGAAACGACATACATCATGTGAAGAATGCACTCACGCTTCAAATGCCTATTTACGAAATTATCAAACATTCGGTGAAAATAATACGTTATTATTTACTCAGTGCGTTTCGAGTAGAATGTATCAAACTCTGCCAAACAGCATTGATTCCCTCACTTCATGATCATCCCCATCTCACACAGATTTCCATCAACTACTAATAATGCGGTCTCACTCAGTGATCTTCTCCTTCTATATATTTGTTGTTAGCTGATATGCTTCCTGTCAGAGTTTCATTTTCCTTATATTTTCTCACCGATCATCTGAGTTTTAGTACCAGAGCAGCAGAGACAGTATATGCTGGTGAAAGTCCAGTTTCCGTGATGTGCACTCTAAGTCTCTCTGAATCAGTCATACAGAAATAGTGAAGCGAACGATAGTATTAAAAATTCAGATCGTCTTTGATATGCTAAATGCTATGGATCTCCACACAGATTTCAGAGTAATGAAGTTATACATATACATATATGTACATATTCGACAGCGTAGACCGAGAAGTAATTTGATAACTACTTCAATACTTCGGCGTGCGGTGCCCAAGTCATTATCAACCTCATTCAACAACTGGCTATATGACAATGCCACGTGTCAGGTGATCCACAACGGGAAACTCAGCAAGGCGTTCAAAGTGAATACAGGATTAAGACAAGTTTGGCTGTCTGCTATTATCACCGATGATATTCTTAATTGTGGTAGACTGGATTATGTGTCAGACTGTGCTTGGGAACGAGAAGTCAGGAATACGCTGGACCACCGATAAGAAGACTCTAGAAGATCTGAATTTCGCAGATGATATATGTTTAATGTCACACAAAATCAATGATCTATAGGAGAAAACCACAAACTGGCAGAAGAAGCAGTCAGAGAAGACAGGACTGCAGGCGAACATACAGAAGACGATGATAAAGATAACCAATCAACAGCAAAAACAACTACCAGCAATCACCATCAACCGGAGAAAATTGACAGACATCAGTTCCTTCACTTATCTAGGAGGCATCGTTTCAATTACAGGCACACGGCAAGGATGAAGATGTCAAAGCCAGTCAAGATGCAAGATGCGCCTTCATCAATCTGAAGTCAGTTTGAAAATCCTCTGCACTGAACTCAAGTAACATAAGGAACAAGATTCGGATTCTGTTCAACACCACTGTCAAGTCGGTTTTTCTATACAGGTTAGAAACTCACACTACGTGTCACGAAAGGGATTTCTAACAGCCTGTTGCAGACTTTCATCAACAGCTTCCACCTTCGCTGGCTCCCTATTCAAGATCAGTTGGCCAGCTGGCCAGCCAGAAAGAATTAGCAACAAGAAACTCTGGCTGAGAACAGATCAACACGCAAGAGATGATCGCTCAACAAATATGTCGCAGAAAGTGGAGATGGATCGGACATACACCGAGGAGGCCGCTGAATGACATCGCACTCCAGGCCATCGCTCGAGTGGAATCCTAATGGGAAGTGACAAGTGTGTCGTCAGTGAGAGAATGACATAGGGGAGATCGTGTGAAGATGAGGTGAGAGAGTCTGGTCAATCGTCGACCCAGTTGAAGAGGATGGCGGAAATTAGAACAAAGTGGAGATGTACTCAGGTTGATTTGGAACGCAAGGGAATAATTAAAAAAATAAAAAATATATATTCCACTTTCTAAGAAAATATAAATCTCCTCATATAAAGATGGAAATTATTGCATCTGAGGCGTAAACTATTCACGAAATAAATGGCAGTCACTTACATAACATTAGCTCTTTTCCAGTCAAACTGACTTTTTTCTAAATTGTAAATACCAAATGTGTACTTGTTATACACCTTCAAACTCTCCTCCATTTCAGAATGCATAGTTTCTTTTTTCTTCATACAGCAGGCAGTAATCAAGGTAATTGAATTAGTGTCACTCTCCGAACCAACGTCTACTATTGGTCCCAAACTTGTTTGAACTATTGGTAAATATCGGTCTAAATATCAAAATTTAGAAAAGAAATAAACAAAAAATTAGATATTATGAGTACAGGAGTAGGTTACTCAATGTTATAAACTCTATCATTTTACGAGCCACTATAAACGGTTTAGTGCGGTCGAAAGAGAGAAAACTTCGGCCTTTCTCTCGAAATCCTCTCTTGTGGCCATGCATTCACATCCTCTGCTAGATAAATCCTACTCACTGTGTTCACGCATCATGAAGTGTCCGTCGCAAAGTGAAAAATCAGAGGTGAACACCAGGTACTTACAACCAGAATGGTAGACACACTGGTCTACCTAGGAGAGCTGTGAAACCCTAATAACCAAACTTGTAATTTACACGAACTCCAGAATCTAAACGGATGAACCCGTTTAGGTTAACAAGAACCCTGGAAACACAACTTCTGATACTATCCGATTACATTCTGGATAAGACTTCAATTTGAAGGCTCAGAATTGGCCACTTAAAGCAACCGTCTGCTTCTGTCTTAGCTTACGGGCAATATGCTATCCATTACACGAGCTATATCATTTTGTGCGGTACGTCTCTTGATGCCCATAATGTACAAAATTTGTGTTTTATTAATACTAATAATCAATCCCCAGCCGATGGGCTCCGAAACCTCTTTTACCTAATGATAATCCCGGCAAAGAGGGAAGGTTGGGCATGAGACTAGCAATGCTAACCTGTAAAAAATGTGACCACTGCTACAGAAACTTCAAAACTCTAATTTGAAACTCCATGTTCCCCTGGGAACGCAAAGGAATAAAATTTTAACAAATAAAAAATAATCACTTGATGAAGCTATTGAGTACACACCTTCAACATAAAGCACCTAACCTAATGAACTACTTTTATCGCATTTATGTCATATACACAATGAGTTGGTGGAATTAACAAAAATGCTCCTGTAAAATGGATAATGCGACAGACAACGGCGGGCAACGAGGAGATAGGTATAAAATAGACCCCCCTCCTCAAAATCTTTGAGGATCTGGACTTCGCCGATGTGATATATGTCTGATTTCTCACAAACTGGAAGACATGCAAATGAAAAGCAACAAGGTGGCGAGAGAATAAGCATCAGAGATAAGCCTTCAGGTGAATACACAGAAAAAAGAGGTAGATGATGAAGATTCCTGGCCAACAGCAGCAACATCCACAGACACCAATCAGCATAAATGAGGAGAATCTGAAAGAAGCAACCTCCTTCACCTACCCACCTACCTACCTGGGAAGCATCATTTCAACTACAGGCCGACGGAACTGATGACGGTGTCAAAGTGCGAGAATTGAGAAGGCGAGACAAGCTTTCGTTTCTCTGAAGTCTGTGTGGAGGGCAACAACACTACTCAGCATGACAATGAAAATAAGATCCGTATTTTCAACTCCAATGTGATATCAGTGCTACTTACTATATGGATCAGAGACTTGGAGCCTCACCGCATCACGAAGGCCACTTCGAACAAACTACACGCCTTCATCAACAGCTGTTTTCACTCAGTGTAACTCAAGATCAGATGGCCGACCAGAAAAGATCAGCAACAAGGATCTCTCTGAGAGAACCAACGCAGCAGGAACCAATTGTGCAACAAATATGCATGAAGAAAAGGAGATAGATTGGCCATCAAGTGACATCACACACCAGGTCATTGCTCAAGTGGAACCCGTCCGAATGGAAAGCGGCGAGTTGGTCGTCAGTGAGAGGGTGACATGGAGGAAGAGAAGGAGGTGATGTGAAGAGGAGATGAAAGCATGTGGGCAGACGTGGAGCCAGGTGAAAAGGTTTATAGAGAGCCGAACACAATGGAGAGGTGAGGCTGAAGCCCTATGTTCCTCTAGGAACTAAAGAAAACAACAATAATTATACTAGATAATTTCCTTAATTACTATAATTAATAATTCTATAACTCAAATAGAAAGGACGAAATTGAAAATAAGGCAAATAAAAGGCACATTAGTAAATTAAGAAATATGATGCTAAAATTAGCACAAAGCAGGGACAAGATAAGAAATAGACTTGTGTGTGTGTGTTAAGCAGCAAATGAACCAAAGCCTTTTTTCATGATGCAATCACTAATCACACTTTGTTATGTCTTACTTCATATCATAACAGATATATGTTTGACTGCATATGAAAGTGAGTTGTTTTAAGATAAAATCGAACTGAGAATTATAGTAACATTCGTATGGCTTCTAAGGAGTATGTATTCTTGACAAATAGCCCTGTTTAACTCGTCAACATTATCATAATAATTTCTGTTGGATTCCTGTGAGGACAGTCGGTAAAACGAGTATTCTTTTTTTTCTTCACGTTCCCCAGTGGAACAAAGGGCTTCAAGCTAGTGGCTTGAAGTTTCTGTAGCAGTGTTTATTTTTACAGGATGGGGTTGCTAGCCTCCTGCCCAACCTTCCCTCCTCACCAGTCTTTGTTGCTGGCTCAGCGAGGTGAAGGAGTGCGTCTGTGGCCGGGAATCGAACCCCGGACCATGTGTATGGTCGGCGAGTTCCCTAACCGCTATACCACCAATGCACGAGTATTCAGGGCTAGTGAATTATGCTGTGTCATCAAAACCACCCCTAGATTGCATCCGTGATAAGAAAGATAAACTACCTAATTTCTCCTCTCCTATGGGTATCCGCCTATTTCACTTCTCTTGTAGAGTGAGCCAGTTACATAGGCCGTACAGTTAGGCGTGTTTACCGTCAGATCTCCGAACATCACTGCAACTCATAAGGCAATTTCATCCTATATTAAGTCAGTCGTGAATCTTAGAATAATTTTTAGGTGATATTTTGTACGGATTTGGTTGATTTCATTTGGAGCACCCCTGAAAATTAGAGACTACTGGACAGCTGTTTTGTCTTTGCTTAAGAATCGTCAGTGGCACGGATGTATGACTCTACTAAGGACAAGTTTCCATACTTCAAAACAATACATCGAGGAAGAGTCATAGTGCAGAAAGCAGTCAGAGAGGGGGGAGGATAATGCATTGAAGCTTAAAGTCAAAATGTCCGCATTATTTTTTTCCGGTGGTGTGTGGAATCACTGAAGTTTTATAAAGATACTGACACTGAATTATTTTGGCAGCCTTAACTGCATAAACGAGATTTTTATACACACCTCAACACACACATAAATGAACTGCTTCATGAACTCACATCATTGTCACACTCAAGGCATCTATAGATCTACTTCGCCTAGTCTCACTTCAAAATCAGTAATCCGTTGCGTAATGCAGTTAGACTGATGACGAGCTGACGTCAGCTAGAGGACCATTAGAAAACCCGGGAGTACTGAACAGCTGTCTCACCCCAGTCTGGAACTCTTCAACGATACGCACCCACCACAGGGGTCAGAACACAGGACCTTTCGGTTGCAAGGAGAGCTCATATACCATTCAGCCATTGGGACCCAACTCAATGGTCCATGAAATCTAACTTCGGCCAATTCTGAGAAATCTGAAAGAAGCAACCTCCTACACCTACCTACCTACCTACCTACCTACCTACCTACCTACCTACCTACCTACCTACCTACCTACCTGAGAAGCACCGTTTCAACTACAAACTGAGTGAAGTGACGAGGATATGAAAGTGGGGATAGGGAAAGAATTGCAAGGTTTCATTACTCTCAGGTCTGTTTGGAGGTCAACAGCACTACTCAGCATGAAAATTAAGATCCAGATTTTCAACTCTAATGTGAAGTCACTGCTACTATCCAGATAGGAAACTTGGTGCGTCATGAAGGCCACTTCGAACAAACTACACACCTTCAAAAACAGCTGTCTTCGCTCAATACTGCTGAAGATCAGATTGCTGGCCAGAAAAGATCAGCAATAGGGAGGGATCTCTGGCAATGAATGAACCAACTCAGCAGGAACCGAATGTGCAATAAATATTCAAGAAGAAATGGAAGTGGATTGGTGGCCATACTCTGAGAAAACAATCAAGTGACAAAACACAACAGGCGATCGCTCGAGTGAAACCCGGCCGAACAGGAAGTGGTGAGTTGGTCGTTAGTGAGAGGGTGACATGCAGCAGAAGGTTATGGAAAGAGGAGTTGGAAGCATGTAGGCAAACGTGGAGCCAGATGAAAACTTTGGCAGAGAACCGAAGGCAATAAAGACGTGTGACTGAAGCCCTATGTTCCTCTAGGAATCAAAGGAAACAATAATAATAATATGAACTAACTTGACTGTAGCTGTTTGATGACAACTATTCCAGACTGAAGACCAACCAATAGATAATAATTCTCCGAATTGATTAAATTTGACCTATTTGATGACTGCTCTCTGCTGCCTGCAGTGTTAACAGAATTCATGATGAATGGTTTAATAGAAATATGTGTGATACATGAACCAAAATAAGCGACCTCTTCCGGTACACCTTCACCAGCTAAAATCAATAAAATAATCAATTAAAATTAAGTTGAATATTAGACCGAATTCAGACTGAAAAGAAAGTGAGTAAGTGAAATGTTTCAAAGAAAATGAAAGATATCCTCAGGTGGAATGATTCGGGATAATTGAAGTATTGTTAGTTTGCAGGGATTTCATCATGAACTGACATTGGTTGAAGGACCATTGGAAAACCAGCCACAGAGAGTACTGGACAGCCAGCTGTTTCGTCAGGCTAGTTTGGGACTCTTCATTAGTGTGTGCATTCACTGAGTTTCGAATCCAGGCCCTTCTGGTAACAAGGCTAGTGAGCCTGCAGACAATTAAGCCACAGGGACCCAATCTATTGGCCAGCCCATGAATTCCAGCTTCTGCCAATTCATGATATGGCAAGACCACTAGAGAATGTCATCGGCGAATATTTGTCCCCACAGTCGACCTGCTGTACGCCACTAGTCACGACTTCCCACTAGAACTCAGGTAAATGTCTAGCTGAATAGAAGCAGGTTGTTATTCAGAAAGTACTTATCGATCGATTTGTTTCAAAAGAATGGATACTGAACAAAAAGTACTCTTTTCGGTAATAATAATATTACAAATTCATGAATTTATAGTCTCTATTGAAGGCCAGGGCAGTAGTAGGGGCTGGACTTGCTTCTTTTAAACACAAAGCACTGGATGTTTCACGCGATTCGTGATAGCTTTTGTTGCTTAAGGTATGCGGTACCTGAATGTTTTGGCAATTTTAATGCATACCCGGTAGATGATAGAGAAGGATTCTTCAATGCTCTAGCTGCTTTGTGGCCGGTTTGGACCAGGTGGTCTAATATCGAACTGTTGATGGTTTTTACTTCACCCTTACTGAGCCACACTGACAGATGTTCCTGAGTGAGCACAAAAAATCAAATTCCTAGAGCAACGGCCGATATAACGCGCTCCACCACAAGCGGAGTTGAATTGGTAGATAAAATAAGATGTAACTAGTCTAGGTTCTTCATCTTTCAGTCGAGAGTAGCACCATTGGTCATGTAGAGAATACGACTTGTAGTCTGCCAACATTCAAAGTTCCTTGAACTGATTTTCTTAACTTCTTTGGAATTATTTCGCTTGGTATATCGCCCTTGAATTGTAGTCGTATATAAAGTGGCTTCTTGCTCACAGACAGTGAGTAGTCTTTTTCCGCTTTCTTTGTCATATATTTCTTGACAGATTTTTCGGGATGGCTATTTTCGATCCAAGTATTATATACAATGCTTAATTCATCTTTAATCACTTCTTCTGAGCATTTAGCTCTAACTCTGTGGCTAAGGGTCTTCACTAAATTTCTTTTGTACTTGATAGGAACGAAGCTGTGAAAATGTGTATATTGTCCTGTCCAAGTACTTTTTCTATGAAAATTTCCTTTTTATGCTAACATCTGGTTTTCTTGTAAGCAGGACATCCAGGAAGGCAATTCTGTCTTGGGATTCCACTTCGCATGTGAATTACATAGCAGAATGTACTTCATTGAATTGAGTAATTATTGTACTCCTATTAGAACCATTATCACAAAGAATGAAGGTATCATCCATATATTGGCAATAAAATGAGGGCTTACTGAAAAGGTTGTTCAAAGACCCATTTTCTAGCTTACTTAGAAAGAAATCAGCCAGAATGGGACGTTTTCTTGGACATAAACAGATTAGTGTTCGCTTGCGTTTCGAGTGGAACGTACGGCTTCAGCAGTACATCTGTATCTCATTCTGTTCTACGCAATCCTACTAAGCTGGTTCCACAATTGTCCTTAACCTGTTATTTCCTTCTCATTTGACATCCTCTACGTAACTGTCTGACTCATGGCCACCTTGTCGCTTCCTTTCCAGGTCCAATTGGAGAGCCCAGCAAGTGATATCACTCAGCGGTCTTCTCAGTTTTTGTCTGGTCCATCTCCATTTTCTTCGGGATATTTGCTGAGCAACTGGTTCTTGGTCGGTTCGTTTCTCAAAGTTTCTTCTTGCTAATTCTTTTTGCTCAGCTGATCTTCCGCATGGTGTGAAGTCGGCATCAGCTTGTTGGTAATGCTTTTTGTGATGCGTGAGCCAAGTTTCTGACTCACGTAGAAGAGCTGACTGACCTAACATTGGTATTGAAAATCCGAATTTTGTTAATATATGTGTAAAACTTGGCTACTGTGGTAGTAAGTAATTCCATATTAGTTTGTTTATTAGATATATCACACAGTCAAACAGTATTATTTACTGGATGACACAGTTTCGAACAAAATTCATCTTTGCTCATAATCATATCAATTATAATCACACGACTTTGACACTTGAGTTTTATTGTTTTCTTTCTCCTCTCCTATTTACCGTCGTTGGGGTAGTAGAACTTTCCAGACATCTGGGAAAGGTGATGAGTCATTCCTATTACATGTATTTGCAGTTGATTCGATAAGCAAAGCTTCTGTTATCAATCTCTCCCTCTAACCTGTGACGTTAGATTTTTAAACTGTCACCTTATCCCATCCCGTCCTATTGTATGGTTGTGTGTAATTGCATGTAGTGAGTGCTATAATTGCTGAACTATTCTCTAGATTTCTTATCTTATTCGGGTCAACTAATCTACATTGTGCTATGACTTTATGCTCGACCAGTCTGACTGCCTCCGTTCTACTACTCTGACCTATGTATTTGACCTGGCAATCATTGCAGGCAGGGTATTAGATAAACTAAATTGTTTTGTTTTAAGGGATCCACAGGCAGGATCCTTTAGCCGACAAAGCTTGTTTCTAATTGAGTTTGTGGGTGGTTTGAATGGCAGCCACTTTCATTCCTGCTCTGTTAGGAATTCTCCACCGTAAGGCTTCCGAGGTTCCTTCCTTGTATGGAATTAGTACTCATGATTTAGATTCCCTATTGTTGGTGTAATCTTGAGCATATTTGACATGCATGTCGTCACTGATATTACTATTATTATTATTGCTATCACTATCACTGCTATCATTATTTATTTTGTTTTTACATTTCCCTACAAACTTTCTGACTAATTTATCGGGCTAATTATCAAGTTTCAAAGCTTCTCCCACATGCCTCACTTCCTGCCTAAGATTTTCCTTGGTACTACTTAGTTTTTGTGCTCTATTTTAATAAAACATTTCAACAATCTTATTTTTACTGACATGGGATGGGATGACTGGAAATCGAAATATCTGTTTGAATGTCTGGGTTTCTTGCAAACACTGGTGTTTAACTTCCCACCTTTCCTTTATACACTGCAATCTAACATTTGTTGTTTATGTTGATTGCAGAGGATTTCATAGTGATGAAGGTCCAGCTTGCCTTTCCGATTCTAGCCTGCTTGGACATGCTCATCTGTTCTGTTGCCTCTAGTTTAAGCGATGCTGCCCAGATAAGTGAAGGAAGGGACTTCTTTCAAATTTATTCCATTTATTGCGATTGAGGATTGCTGCTATTGATTGGTTGGTTATCTTCATCCCCTCCGTCTTTTCGGAAAGCATGACTGACAGAAACTATCAACTTTTCCGGTTAGCAGATTATCCTTTCAACAATGAAATGTTACTAGCAGACAAGAACTGTCTTTCAGCCTCATCATTCTTAGGGCGTATCTTCATGACAACCTGCCTAAGTGATGGATGATCAAGCAGAGATGTCAGACAATAACTGAACTATATCGTTCATAAATAGCATTAAGAAAACACTAATTACTCCTGGTAAAATATTCATGATTATTTCAGGTAAGTCTACGGATTGATATCAGTTAGAGAACCATTGAAAGTCACCAGGGAGTAGTGGACAGCTGTTTCGTCCTGGCCTGGGACTCATCGGTAATACGCACCCACTGCCAGGGTTCGGACCCGGGACCTTCCGATTACAAGGCAAGCTCACACACCATTCGGTCATCGGGACCCGATTCCATGGCCCATTAATTCTTACTTCTGCTAATTCGTGATTTAGCGTGACCACCAACAAATGTCATCAGCAGGAAACCCATCCTCAATGCCGACTGGATGGACCTCATTGATCACGACTCCTGGAAACTCCGTCCTGTAGCAAGTCACTAGAGAGCATCAGACTAATTTTTTTTATTCCTTCACGTTCCCAGTGGAACATAGGGCTTCAAGCTAGAGGCTTGAAGTTTCTGTAGCAGTGTTTATTTTTACAGGATGTGGTTGCTAGCCTCATACCCAACCTTTCCTCTTTACCAGCCTTATTTCTGGCTAAGCGAGGTAAAGGAGTGCGTCGGCCGGGGATCGAACCCCGGACCATGTGCATGGTCGGCGAGCGTCCTAATTAATTAGCAAGAATTAATTTGCAAGGATTTTATTTGTTTCTGCTTTGACCACGGATTGATATCAGTTAGAGAACCACTGAAAACCAAGGAGTACTGGATAGCCGACAGGAGTGAGGATGGAGTTCCCACCTATGACACTGGCTGGTGATAGCGCTAAAATCATGAACTGTTAGAATTTAGAATTCATGGACCATCGAATCGGATCCCAGTGACTGAATGGTATACGAGCTTGCCTTGTAATCGGAAGGTCCTGAGTTCGAACCCTGGCAGTGAGTGCGTACTACCGACGAGTCCCAGACTAGGACGAAGCAGCCGTCCACTACTCCATGGTGACTTTCAATGTTTCTCTAACTGATATCAATCCGTAGTCTAACTTGAAACAAGTAGAATCCCTATAAACTAATTCTTGATAATTCCTTATTATGCCTTATATTCTTCAGATCCATCTTACATGAAGTCATGAATTAACTATCCTTTGAAACGAAATTGCAGTATTCTTTGTCTCCTGTTGGTTATCGAATGAACGTTTTTGAAAACAACCATTCCTCAGCGTGTATCCCATCTATCTCTGTTTCCTTAGGCGTATTGGTTGATCAAGAAGGTCTTGGTTGGTCAGTTCCTAGACTACCCTGTTGCTTCTCTTTTCTGGCTATCTTATCTCCAATAACCTCTGAGAATAATAATGACAATAATATCACGTCACTTTATATTGCACAAACAATGAAGATCCCAGAGATCACTGCCAAATTAACCTAAACCTCTGTTAAACTGCCTGACTTCTATGACCTGGAATCGACTAACACGTACACTGGGAACAGAGTTTTTCTTACCAAGTCATCCTACGTGGTTAAGTAAAGGAAAAAACAAAATCCATTCAAAGCCATATTCTATCTCATCTCGTGGATACAGACACAAAGTCATCTACCGCATAAAAACTAATCTTAACTTACCTCAAGAGTTCATCTACTATATCGTGCTGAGGCTGGCTGTTGGAATCCACATTGAGAAACCTAACTTATATATGTATTCAAAAGAAGAAGTTGGTCCAGACACTGTTTGTACTTACCTTGGCTGTCAAGGTTTCAATGATCCTCAGTTTCCAAGTGTTGGTTTGTAGGAATTTGATTGGTTACAGGATTTTCATCATGAGCTGACATTAGTTAGAGAACCATTGAAAAACCTGGGAGTACTGGACAGCTGTTTCGTCCTAGTTTCGGACTCTTCATCAGTACTCACCCACCGGGATTCGAACCCAGGACCTTCTGGTTACAAGGCTAGCGAGCTCGGAGACCATTAAGCCATTGGGACTCGGTCAAATGGTCCATGAATTCTAACTTCTGCCAATTCACGACATAGCGCGACCCCTAGCCAATATCTTCCGTGGCGAGTATTTGTCCTCACGCCCGACCTGCTGCACCCTACTGGTCACGACTTCTCACTAGAACCCCAGGCAACTACCTACCTGAATAGGGCAAGTCACTAGTGAGCATCTCATTGAAATTCAAGTGTTGGTTTGTAGGGATTTGATTGGTTACAGGATTTTCATCATGAGCTGACATTAGTTAGAGAACCATTGGAAAACCTGGGAGTACTGGACAGCTGTTTCGTCCTAGTTTGGGACTCTTCATCAGTACTCACCCACCGGGATTCGAACCCAGGACCTTCTGGCTTAATGGTATACGAGCTCGCCTTGTAACCAGAAGGTCCTGGGTTCGAATCCCGGTGGGTGAGTACTGATGAAGAGTCCCAAACTAGGACGAAACAGCTGTCCAGTACTCCCAGGTTTTTCAATGGTTCTCTAACTAATGTCAGCTCATGATGAAAATCCTGTGATCCTCAGTTTGTTGTGGAAACTTCCCTAATTTTATTTGACGTTATATCTGCTATTACATTTTTATGCTCAGTATAGTTTACGCATCTTTAATGGACTGTAATTCCGTTGATCTTACTTAGCAAATCGATATTACTTAAAAAACACTAATATTGTTAATGGCGACTATTCTAGAATATTCTATGTGTATAAACATATATAAAATTGTAGAGCCAGAAGAGGAAATTATCGAAAAGGATATTCTTTGCTCAATTTTTTTTAATTTTTCTGTTCTAAATGTTTGAAGGAATATTTTCGCTATATTCATCTTTGAAAAATTCATTACCAAGTTTGAAGTATGTTCAAACTGAAAGTCCACTCATCAAACACCAAAGCCCCAAGAATGTCGGATTAATTATTCTTAACTGCTGCTGTCATAATGGCTGAGTACTTTACTTTAATTGGACACAAGTAACTAGGTTTGCAATGTGACCACCATTCTAGATAGCTCGCCATCACTGTACACATTGATTTGATGATATTAGATGGTTGGAGGCAATCGACCACAGGAAGCCTTGCATGACCTAGGTTTCGTGCTAGTTGGCACTCACCAGTCAGTCAGCAAGGCGTATCTGCAACTGCCTTGAAGGAGCTCTTGTCCCTTCTGAAATTTGAACCCGCGTCACCCAGTTCTGCAGTCAGAGACGTTACCACTCAGCTATTCGGGCTGGCGATCGGAATCCTGTGGCAGTTTGTTGGATAGTTTGATTGGACACTAGTAGCTAGTGTAATGGGATAATGCTACACTTTATTCTAATCAGCCTAAGAAATTTTATCAGCCTGATTCTAATCCTGTCAAAATATCTTAGTGGTGTTCAATGGTTTTGACTAGCAGTGAAATCGAGGGTGCGCATTTCATCCTATTTGGAACTCATCATCTGAATGTCCCTGAATCCACAGTTGGTGATGGTGTCAACCTAAATCAATCCCATTGTCACATAAAAAGAGAGAATAGTAATTGTATACTGTTACCCTTACCTTTTGTGAATTTATCCAGAAAATAGAAGAATAGTTGACATGATCCAGACCAGTAAACACAAATAGAACTGGAAGATGCTAAATGAAAACCAAAATAAGAGACAAAAAGTTTATTTCAATTTAAAAAAATCCTTTCATTTAGTTCGATTTAAACACTCCCGTTGATTTAATTGGACCGAAATGTTGTGCCCGTATTAAAATGTCGACTCTTTGTGTGGATGCTACGCAGATATCTGAGAATTTAACTTGAAGTATCTTGGTGGATCGTGACAAGCAGTGGGATGTGGGATGCACATTTCTCGCTATTTGTGACTCGTCAGAGACCAAAAGCTTCAATCCAATTAGTCAACGAGAAAGTTCAAATAGAATTAAATCATAACTAATACGCCTCGCACAAGAGGCGGCTGTCTTAGCCTCAGTGGTCTAGTGGACAACGCTTTGGTATTGGAAACGATGGGTACTAGGTTTGAGCCTCATTTGGAACACCATCACCCAAGTGCATTCAGATGACGAATGCCGGACAGGACGAAATGCGTATCCCGGATTCTCCTGCTAATCACCATCCACCAAATTACCTAAAGTTAATAAATACTTTGACTGTTTTCAGTGTTACAGTGTGTTTCATTACTCTTGAAAATTCAATACAGAGAGTGACAGACACATATTATTAAAAAGACAGTTGCAGAGAAGAAAATTTTCTTTTCGACGAAGTTACCATCAGCTAGGCTGTACATTGGTGCATTTATAGTAAGTGTGTGACAAAGTTCCAAAATTATTTCCGGTTAGGGGTTAAATTAATAAAATTACTAAGTATAATTAAGAGAAGATAGGTAGTAGTACTGTAACGAAAGAAGACAGAGGCCAGGCAACAGATCGTTTATTGAGAAAATTAACAGATATTTATAGATTTTCATATACATTATTATTAACGTTAGTGTTAGCAGAGAAGCAACATCTTCTGATTGGTTGTTTTCTTGCTGAAGGTTATTCTGTACTGCTTGTGATCGTTTATTAGAAAGTTAAGCCATATATCTGCAAATCGTATTTGCTCATTCTAAGTCTGCTGTGACTGGTTGTTGAGTTCCTCAAGGTTAAGCTTTGTTATTGTTTTTTCTCATGACCCCGATTTGGGACAAAAACATTGACGTAGAGTGTTGTCTACGATTTTGACTAACAGACAGCTCTCACCACAGTACTACTCCAGAAATATTTCAGGTCAAAAGTCAAATTAATAAAATTCCAATGTGTAGCGATCAGGAAAATTGGGTAGAAAAGACATGATAACACCATAATTACTGAAAACTTGACTGTTTGTATAATTACGGATTAAGGATGTGGTAGTAACAAAATAGTTAAGAAGTTCGGACATATAAAAATATTCTTTTTAAAACAGTAACCAAATTCAGTAATGCAGGTAGGAATTAGAAACGTGAAAATAACAGAAATAAACAGGAAGGTTGGACAAGAAGGGTAACTGGATAATCATTATTGGTGGGAATGACTTTTTAAAATGGTCACGATAGAGAAAATGGTTAGGCGTATTTATTTTGAGCACATGACGTGGGCTTGAGTTTTTGGATCGCCAGTGCTTCAGCTATTCCTAGACGCCTTGATTTCACTCCCACTGATATGTTTGGCTGGATCTTGTATATGACTTTGAAGAACTTTTCAACTGCAGCTGTAGGTCCCGAATTCACCAGATGTCCTACAACCGAACTGTATACACCCCTGCCTTCTCCCTTTGTTAACCTCCCAGGACAGTATTTACGAGGGCATTTTACCAGCGGACGCATGGTGTGACCAATGTACTCGGCTCCACACGAGCAAATGAACTGGTATATGAATACTGAAGTGGCACAATAAGCATTCTAAAATTATTGAAATTCCTGCTATTTCTAGGTAAATAAGTGGCAGAATTTCAGATTTATACTTTTTATAGGAAACATTCTATTAGTCAGCTTGGCATTACTGTGAGTATACTAAGAGTTTTCAAGGGATGATAATTGTTTAGAGACTGAATACTGAACGAAGAAAACATTCTTTTCGACAAATCCCTTATCATATTCTACACTTTTTTGACAGTAATAATTATAGAAATAGAGACATTTAGAAAACAGAAAGATTGAGCGAAGAAATATTTACTTTTCAATTAGATCCTCATCTCACTCTGGCGCTACTCTAATATATATCCATAGCATTTTTATTGCAATACACAACAGTTTACCAAACAAGTGGTGATATGTTTGTTAACAATAATTAAACAGTGTCAAAATGTCAATGGGTGGATAATAAACGAAGGAAATCAATACACATTTAAAAGGTAGAAATGGTTAGAATAAATTAATTTTACAAGCATAACACGTAATTAAAGATGAAGTGGTCAAAATAAATAAAAATAAAATAATTTGGACAATTATAATTTTTATGAATTTTAAAGGTTTAGGGGAAGGGGTGCAGCGTAGTCCTGTTTATGCATTCTTCTAGAGATGGCTATGGTCAGGAAAGTGGCTGTACAAATTTCCTCTGAACATATAGGCTTGGATTCTTAAGGTGGATTTCTATTGCTTCAGCTGTCTGTAGAAGACGAACTTGTAGAGCAAAATTAGGGTTAGTAGGAATGCCATAAATAATTTTAAATGCAGTATTAACATCAACCTTATGCTCAGTATCAACAAGGTGTGCTAAAATAGAACTACGAATAGGTCTTGTTTGTCCCTTGCTTAACCACGCTAGATGATGGTCGGAAATACGACGATGAAACTGCCTAATTGTACGCCCAATGTAGCTGGCTCCGCAGCTGCAGTCAAACTGGTAGACACACATAGAAGAGGCAAATTTAGTTAGTTTATCCTTATTTCTCGAACATAGAATAGGGGTAAACTGTTGTGTATTGTAATAAAAATGCTATATATATTAGAATAGAGTCAGAGATGAGGATCTAACTGAAAAGTATATATTTCTTCGCTCAATCTTTCTAATTATAGAAATATTGATATTAGATACTGGTCACTGCAAACAGCAGAGGCCGTGTGTGCAAAAGAAACAGGTTCAGCCTTGTAACCGGAAGGTCCTGGGTTCGAATCCCAGTGGGTGCGTACTGCCGATGATTCCCAAACTAGGATGAAACAGCAGCTGTCCAGTACTCCCTGGCTTCCAATGGTTCTCTAACTGATATCAGTCCGTGATCAACTCGTAAAACATTATTTCTACGCCAACCTCCTATCAAGCTTAAAAATCAATAAATTCTGTGTTACTACATTTAATTTCATAAATGAGAGAAATTTGAAAGAAGCAACCTCCTTCACCTACCTACCTACCTACCTGGGAAGCATCGTTTCAACTACAGGCTGACGGAACTGACGAGGATTTCAAAGGGAGGATCGGGAAAGCAAGGAAAGCTTTCATTACACTCAAGTTTGTGTGGAGATCAACAACATAACTCAACATTAAAATGAAAATAAGATCCGGATTTTCAACTCCAGTATGAAGTCAGGGCTACTTACTATACGGATCAGAGACTTGGCATCGCGCCGCATTACGACGGCCACTTCGAACAAACTACAGACCTTCATCAACAGCTATCTTTACTCAATACTGCTCAAGATCAGATGGTCGGCCAGAAAATATCAGTAACAGGGGTCTCCATAAGCGAACCAGCTCAGCAAGAACCAATTGTGCAGCAAATATGCAGGAAGAAATGGAGGTGGACTGGCCATAATCTGAGAAAACGAACCATCAAGTGAATGGCACCACATGCCACGCCATCGCTCGAGTGCAACACAACTGAATGGGAAGCGGTGAGTTAGTCGGTCGTCAGTGTGAGGGTGACATGGAGGAGGTGATGTGAAGAAAAGATGAAAGTATGTCGGCAGACATGGAGCCAGAGGAACACGATAGCAGAGAACCGAACGCAATGGGGACGTGCGGCTGAAGCCCCATGTTCCTCTAGAAACTAAAGGAAACAATAATAATAAAAATCTTTTAATTTATCTAATAACCCAGTCAGTTTAGGGTTATATTACTGTATATGATCTCTCTCTGTCTTACTGACACTTTTGAAATGTAATCTGTGTACACTGTGAATTCAGTGTAATTTAGGAAAGCATCAATGTTGTAAGTGATGATAATTCTTTATTATGGTCACAGAACTGTAGGATCTGATCGAGATGTTATTGAACACAATACTCACCTTTGATATTCTTAATTGTGGTGTAGTGGATTGTGTTTGGGAGTGAGAAGACAGGAATAAACTGGACAAGTGAGAAGACTCTAGAAGATCCGGATTTCTAGCGGCGATGATTTGTGTTTAATGACACACACACATAAACTCGATGACTTGCAGGCGAAAACAAACAAATAAACTGGTAGGAGAGGCGAGGCTGACAGCGAAGACAGGACTACAGGTGAATATGGAGAAGACGGAGGTTATGAAGACAATCAACCAAATATAACAACAACCAGCACTAGTCACCATCAACTGGAGAGATTTAACGCAGGTTAATTCCTTCAATTATCTAGGAAACATAGTTTCAACTACTGGTGGATGGCACGGTTGAGGATGTCAAAGCCAGCTAGTCAGAATCGGAAAGACAAGATACGCCTTCATCAACCTGAAATACGTTTAGAAATCTTATGCTGTCACTCAACCGGCATAAAGAACAAGATTCGGATTCTGTTCAACACAAATGGGAAGTCATTCAGTGACGTCTTCTATTCGGGACAAAAGCTTGCACTTAGTGTCACAAAAAGGATTTCCAACAGTCTACAGACTTTCATCAACAGTTGCCTTCGCTCCATACTGAAGATCAAATGGCCAGAAAGAATAAGCAACAAGAAAGTATGGAAACAAACCAACAGTCAAGAGCCTATCGCTCAACAAGTATGCAGGAGAAAATGGAGGGATTGGGCATACATTGAGGTGGCCACCAAATGACATCGCACACCAAGCAATGCCTCGAGTGAAATCCGAATGGGAAGCGACGAATGGGTTTTCAGTGCTGGGGTGAAATGGAGGAGATCGTGTGAGTTGGAAGAGATGAGAGAGTTTGCTCAATCGTGGAGCTAAGCCAGCTGAAGAG